CGTGCAAAGTTTATTTGATTATGCTGTGGCGCTCAGGCTGGGATACGATTTGCTAAGGATGTCACTGTATAATGGAGCACAAACTCTTTTCCATTTTTCTTTCTTCAAAATTTCTACTGAAGATTTATCATAGAAATTACCCTTAAAAAGCACACAATGGAATACACACGCCATTTCTAGGGGAACGATTGCTTAGTATTTGAATAGGCTCGTGCATGTGGCGTTGTGCGCCCGTGCTATTCCCATGCGATTAAGATTGGAAATGCATTGGGTCGATGGAGGCTGCATAACTGAACCTGCATACTTTGCCAGCAACGCTGGTTTAAGTGGAGTTACGTGGCCGATTTTGGAAACAATAATAAATGAGGCCAACAGGCAGCACTTTTTTGAACAATTAGGACGTCTTGTCAAGGGACAAAAATTATTTAGAAGGAGAATAACGAGCCCGTCTCACTATATTTTCGGCGATGGTCTGTCACCGTATGCAGTGATGTGGAGGAAAAAACAAATTGATTTGGTTCGGAAAATAGGGTAAAGAAGCACGAGAGTATTGAAATTTATCCATAGAATTTAATAAACAGTTATTAATTTTAATGAATATTTTTTCGAATGAGTGCAGAAATCTGCTGTTGATCAGTTGTTTGTCGACAGTTGTTATATATTTCGAGTTTGATAAATGGGACCAGAATGGGCGTCAAGAGATAAAACGCAATATCATGATGGAAGTTCTACACAATGTAATCATGTCACCGATGAATTGAAAGCAGTCGTCGCTTATCTATGTGGATTCTATAAATCATAGAACCCTGGGACTCTAGCCATTAATGTACCTATGTTTTCTATGGTGTCATTTAAGGTTCAGCCTTTTGCTGAATTACATTTAGCTGTTCACTCCTAAAACATAATGTGGCCTTCCTGAATTTGAGCGGTGCGAAAACGAAGTTGCTCGTAAAATACTGAGATCACTAAATTCAATGGAGAATCTTGGAAGTAACATGTTGTAGGTCAACTAGGCTCAAATAGAATGGAGGATATTCGATTATCTTGAGTAATGAACTTTAGCGATAGACTATTGACGGTCTCTTTTCCTTCGCCTATGGACGTGTGGGATCTTGAATATTCAGATAAGCATAAAATTCCTCGTCAGACCCTTGGGATTAGTTAATTTATAACGCATTTTGTCTGCTATTTGGTACTTTTTATACAATCCACGCCTCACATAGAGATAAAAGGTTTTGGCCGCATGAAGAATCTTTACACTTATGGCTCAATCTTACACTAAAATCTACCAGGCAAGTTGTTTAAGCCGTTGATAAATCCGTATACTGCCGGTTTTCCCAACAGAATGGTTTGTGACTAATGGAGACTTTAACTAGTTTGACGTTTTCAAGCGCTCTTTGGTGCAACGCAGCTGGAAAGCAGTGTTATCAGGCCAACCATCTCTGTTTACAAGTCCCCTGAGGCATGTGGTCAGAGATGAAAACATCTTCAAGTTCAAACATGTGCTCTCAATTATATGATGTATACAAATTCACTGACATTTGTAAAAAGGCATTTGAAAACTAGAAAAACCAGTATTGTCTGAGGAAAATATTTGCCAAAGTTAAAAACATTCTAGGTCATCCTAACTGGCCTGATGAGAGACTGACGTGGCATCATTCCGAAAACTCAGAATATCTCAGAGTAATTTAATGACTGATAAACCACCAAACCGGACCACAACGCAATGGAAACTGAAAAGGGGTCGATCAAAGAACAGGAAGAAACTCCAAAAATGGAAGGCATTGAGGTAATCAAGCGACTCAAACGAGAACAGGCTGTAACGCAACAAGTTGTTTTGAGAATATGCTGCCTTCCAGCTAGCCTATCACCTTCAAGAATCACAGCTAATCTCCCAGTGTATAAACACACACGGACAAAGAGGAAGTACCCATGAAAATGCGCAATGCTGCTGTATCCTCTTGTGGTGACGAAGTCTATGCAAGTCAGTTGCAAAACTCGGTGGAGAGATTAACAGCTAATTAACCAACAGCCAAACACACAAAGCACTTAACTTCTTAGGGCAGAAACTGGCATAAATGGATATGAATTCGCCTTACCCTCGCCTTGCCCTCAACATTCCAGGTGCAAACGAACATTCACCTCTGAAATGGATCTTGGTTAAGCAGGATATTAATTCCCTCTAGTAAAAACGATGCAATGAAATATGAAATAAGTGATATAAGTGCATACAGAAGAAACGAAATAAAGTCTCGTCCCGGATGCTGTTGTCTCAATGCAATATATGGGTAATGCACGGGTCAACTGACGTCGCGTTCACCGTGGAGCCAAAAGCATATCATTAGGAGGTTTGAGCGAAATCTCGCGATTTGTTCTCACAACGGCAACGGATGTATATCTATATTGGTAGAAAGCGTGTATCCGTGCTCAACCTCAATGTGAAATGCCCTGTTAGGGCTATCTACTCAGTTTGCAATGTCACTGTGGATTAGGTGCGTACTTCGTTTTGTCATCGCTAAGTTAGTCCCGTTAACCATTCAATTACCAACCAAGCAGCCGCATGATGACATTGGTTTATAGATGCGGACAATCCTGACAATGACTATCTCGAGAAGCAGAAGTGACTGTCGACGGACTGCGGTCAAATCTGAGAGCACAGTTGTTTGTAAACAAAATAGTCGCTTGGATGCCTCCCTTAACTGGTGTCATGCGTCCAGTAAGTAGGAGTTGAGAGCTTTGAGAACACTGGTCGACTGCATATGTGCTGCAGTTGGCAATATAGCCCTGTTTCGTGTTCTGGAGAGTGTATTCCTTGTTTAATTCCTGAACTATTTGCTATCGTGGCGCACTTGAGCTGTATGTGATCTGCTTAGGACTTGGCATGCTACTGGTTACAGTAATTCACCAGAGGGCATTTTGAACGCTCAATATTTTTCATACACAAAATTGATGGCGAAAAAACACATCATCGTCTAATAGAAAGCCAAATCAGAAAAAAGACCGCAGACTAGTTATTTATGTTTCCTCTTCACAAAACGTTTTTAAAAGATAAAGTTAAATAAGCAGAGCACTCTCGATGACAAACTTTCAACAGTTTGGAACGTGATTACGCAGATATATATCAGATTATATACACGATATCATCAAAGAATGGAAGCCTTTTGTTGTCCGACATATTCCAAGAAATCAGCTTAAGCCCACAACACCCTGCAGGACAACCCTGCATGCTACTGTAATTGTCGCCCATAAAAGCGAAAACACAGTTGATTCCTGTGCTGTACGTATTCACTCAGTCTAATGTGTTTAATTTGTAGTAGCAAGGTTGGTTTAATGAGGTGATTGCTTTTTCTCCCTCAGAGAAATGAGAGCCTAAACAAATTGCAAATACCTAAATTTGAACTCCCGCAGAAAGTTTCGTTTGTGCAAATCTAGGTCAATAGTAACGTCTATTTTTTGACGTTACTCACTTATGCATCATTCATTAGTTTGCTGAGTACTCCTTAACAGCCCACGATGGGTTTCCATTTTGGGGGCTCATTTGGTAGGCGCCATCCTCGTGCCTTTCATTCTGAGTAAAATCACGTTGTGCTCTGCAAGTGCGCTTTCCGATATGGACCCATGCTTTAAGATGATCCTCAGGTAGAAAATTAAACAGCAAATTCAATGGACTTTTCGATTGGCTGGACTTTGCTTGGATTGTGGGGCTTGGATTTTGGCTTGCAAGCGTCTCGTTGATGTGTGCTTTCGTAAACACTTCCCCACTTGTATTCCCATTTGGTGACATTTGAATGCCAGTTGTCGAGTCACCTGACCAACATCCTAAAATGAACCCGAGCTACCAATATTTCGTGACATTGCAACATTGAAATTCGGTGTCTTCAAAGTCGTTCTCTCAACTAAAGAAATCTACCTCTCGACATCTAGGAGTCAAAGTATATGGTTGGTAACAAAAGAATTCGAGTCAAAATTCGGTTTGGTAGTGGGGTCTCACCAGACGCATAGCCATCAATTGATTGACTGTGGCTGTTGGCCAAACCTGCTACAGTATGAAGTACCGGTTCGGCAACCAGTGATGTAAACAAACTTTCATTAGGTTTCGCTTTCATTAAATGACTGGTTAGCTGGCGTGGTTATGCAAAATCCTAGCGAACATAACAGAATTTGATATGGAAACAAATCGATGATGTCACATGACATGAGTGACTGCTATTTCCCCGAGATCGATCGGTGGGTAATAAGGACTTGGTGGTAGAATTTATCATTTCTTTGTGCGTGGTTATATCGTGATTGCTTGTTTGTGTACAAAATGAGTGAATAGCTAGCCCATGATTAAATGTCAGAAAAAGTTAACTGCCACAGATGGATTAACTTGGCAGATTACTTTGATTAAATTAAGTAAGTAGACGCTGCCCTTAGATGTTTTGAGGCCTAGGCTTCGGATGATCCGTACAAACTTATTGAAAATAGTGCATAGACATTATTCTCAAGAAAACAAGCTGTTACAAAGAACTCCCACTGATTTGCCCTTGAGTTCCAGCGAATAAAGCCTATCAGTACATTTTCGTAATAACCATTTGGGAAACAACGATTCTGTGCTCCAACCGTATATATGTTCAGAATCTCCGCACTGTAGATGGTTTTTGACGTCTAAAGAGAAAGGGAGCTTACGAGACACATATTCGTTTTGTGCACAAAACAACACCTCAGACGTTGCGAATATACCCATCATAGATTTTTCCTGCCTTTTTCGATAAATCCTCTTCAGGTCGTTGGATGTTAAAGCACACAAAACAACGGTAAGCAGTTTGAAAGGGTGTGACGTGTACCATAGTTTGGCCGCAGGCAGGAACACAATTGTTTGCAAACTTGTCGACAGACATGGAACCAATCAACGAGCGTTGTGCAGCCGAGTTCGATTGGTGTCCAAACAACCACATACCGAACGAAACGTATATTTAATATACGGAGTTCTATACATTTGTATAGGCTTGTGCAAACAACACAGTCAAGAAAACTCAATTCACCGTGTTGAATTTTACATCCAAAGACTGTAAAGCAGATTCAGATAATTCGGGTGCTTGGATTTTTGCGCCGTAATGCATACCATCTGGAAGTAAACCACTGTGGATGATTGCACAGAAGAATATTCTGCAATGCTCAGAAGCACAGACTGATTGCTCTCTTTCACATGTAAGTCACTTAGTGAAGTAATTTCGAATTGCAAACGAGTGCTATCTATTTCTTTGCATCACAACAAGCACTGTCGAGCTACAATCGGTTACTATGCAGTGAATACTTGGCCAATCAAACTATTTCTGTAACCAAGAGGTAAAAGATGGGGTTAAGCATTTATATAGTCCTCATGCGTCCTCATTCGTTGAATTGATAAGTCCCTAGTTAGAATTCCATCCTTCAAGTGAAGTCAAACTGTACAGCGAAATGAAAGTATTCCAGTAGTAGTAGTCGGGGTAATAATACAACGCCATACAAGTGTTCCTGATGTAAATTGCTTGACTTGATGATGGGAGGATTACAAACTAAGTGAATGTTGATTACATTTCAGTTGGACCATTCTAGGTCGCATGACCAGAAGGTCATAGTTTGAATTGCCTTAGAAACGCAAGAGGTCTGCACTGGAGACAACTCCGAACGGCGCTTCTTTGATTTACCACAGATTGACTGGCAATAGAGAATGGAGTTCCAATCATTTGGGCAGTTATTTGAATTCACGTTGCACACGAAATATATCTCATTTAACTGCTCAAAGCTATCTGCTTTGCGTATTAAGTTGCGTTGTCCAGAACTGACTTGTCCATAACCAATAAAATCCCAGTGGCAATTCCCCACGATGTGTGGTGTATTAAGGTGGTAATAATATATACCATCCCTGGAAGGAATGTTTGTGTGTGAAGCTTTAGTTCTGAGTAAGGTCACCTCATGGTCAAATGACGGACTAGTTTTCAGCGCGTCAAATTCAACTCGTCCATCAGTGAACAGAAAAAATTCACACTAATGCTTTTATTTTCCTTTACTATTTCTTCTTGTTCTTCTTCCATCCCGTGCACCTTCGTAAATCCAACCTAAATAAAAACCTCATCTTAAAACTCAGTTGATCCCCCAACATATGGAGTCACAACTTAATTTGAGTATTGCTTCTGCTCTCAGTCGATACGCGTCAACCCGTTACCAGTGCATTACAACATAACGGAACACGTACAGGGCACCCTTTGCTTCGTGAGTCACTGTACTGATTATCGAGTTTGGGTAGTACGACACTGGATTAATTATAATTTAGCCCCCTATAAGCCACAGAAGATTATGCGTAAAGTCTGGGATACAGATGATTATCCACGAAACCTGAGTTTGTATGATTACTAATTCAGTACAGCCAGCCTGTTTTCAGATAACAGAATGCTGTTTTCTGGTCCGGCCCTCTGAGCAGCAAGCTGGTGGGGTATAATGCATTAAATTTGGTGTTTTGTCGCTGAAGCTGCGTCCAGGTAGTTCGCCAAGGTTTGAACAGGGTCAGCACTTCATCAGGTCTTTGGAATTCACTTTGTACCTCGAAGAGCGATAAGAGAAATAGGCTGTCATGCGATAGGCCGTATTAGTTTGGTTGTACAGTACAAAACGTCAGATGAATACATAGACCAGAACAGGTATCATTACTATCGAAATGTCGAAAACAAGTCAATCACCAGGGGAGTGCCAGCCATCCTGTCGTTCAACTTCGTCCCCACAGAAATAGATTTAGCAAAAATACAGATGGTCGTCTTGGATACGATGCGAATTATTGGTGCATTATTGAATCAATGTCCACTTACGGGCTTGTAGTTCTATTTAAGCATGTTAAATTGGATTGGTTCACTCACTACCCTTCCAGTTCTGGAGTTGTTCGACCTGACTTGGTCAAATCTATGTCCCAGTCCTTCCAGGTTATTTGACCGAGTATCCACACGCAAAATGGTCCAGATCGAATCTAACCTGTGTAGCATTTGGGAACTTATAGTCACAAAAATTTCATCTGAACCAGGAAGAATAAGAACGAATAAAACAGAAAGCATGCACTTCTAAATTCCTAAGAAACCAAACCGATTCTCATATGATGTGTAAACTGCTGACGATATCATAAGTGGCTTAAAAACAAAGCGCAAATATGTTCGACGGTTTAGTCGGCAGGGTAAAGCAAATGCATGATTCTTAGAGTGACCGTTCGTAGCTTATTCATACCATCAGCTGAGAGGGTTTGTGCTTAAGAACCACGCGGGTTATTGAACCACATAATATCATTGTCTTTTGCATGAATGCCAACTGTGAAATATTTTCACTCGTTCGTCAGGCGTTTGGTCAGTTGGCTTCATGTTGTGTTATGGTAGCCGGTCCAGTCGTGCAAGACCCGTTCAACACAAGCACAACTTTTTCTAGTGGTTGTGATGTACATTTCTTTTCGGAGATGTCAGCAGGCTATTTTTATCATTTTCACTATAGTATATTTTTAGAACTCCTATGGGTATGACGAAAATCCCCATGTCAAAACATCCGTAAGACGAAATGTTTTAAGCGTGGCTGCTTTCAATCACCAAAATATACACATGTTTGTGATGACATTTGAAAAGTCTGCTTCGATTAAGAAAGAACCTGAACGGTTTGTGTGCATCTTTATCGTATCCCAGGTGGCGTACATGCCTAGAGAAGTTATTATGACGGTACACCGTGGGTCAAGGATATCTGGGTGACTCATCAATAAATTTCTGATCTTTTTAACCGTTACGAAAACCACTTCTGGTAATTTATCTCAACGTACATCTCGTAAAGTTATACTTCATCGTGAAAGCGCCTAAGAAAAAATATCCCGATGGTTACAGCTACGTGCCTGTTAAAGGGTGCGAATTTGCGTTTCACGTCTCTCTCTTGTGGTTTTTGGTAACCAAATCCGCTCTTAGTCAGCAAAATTTTTCTGAAAGTAGTATGAGCATTTAAACTACTGATCGGGACATATCCTCATTAAATTATCATCCTGAGGGCTCCACAAATAATCAAAATCAGATTTTATAATAATGGATGCAAAACCACATTCTCTGGGATGGTAGGCAGACACAGCCGATTATCAGCCATTGTGGCAAGAATTCTTCTCTTTGAGGATGCACCTTTTGGCAGAATTCCACGCTAATAAACAAGCGGATCAACATACACTGAAAGTTGGTAATTGATCAGGTGGCTGTTAATCTGTTCGCCGAGCTTGGCAATTGACTTGCAAAAGTTTCGTCACCATTCGAGGAGACATCTTCGGCGCACTGAATATGTCTCCTCGAATGGTGACGAAACTTTTGCAAGTCAATTGCCAAGCTCGGCGAACACTGAAAGTTTTTTGGAAGAACTTGGGACCAATGCCGTTAGACAGATGAACTCTGCAGAAAATAGTTAGCCGATTATCCTCCGTGATTCAGAATGCTCCCAAAAATAGCGCCCAAATTTATTATTTGTATGAAGTAAGTGTAACTAGCTGTATGGTTAAAAATTAATTGTGGCCACGGGTAAGTGATGGATGTCAGTAAAAACTGTGTACGTGTATCTTTGTGCGTCTCTAGTGGTGAATCAAAGGTTGCGCAAAGTTCTTGAACAATGACTGACATTGAATTTCAGGATGTCTAAGGAGGATGTCGTGAACCGAACCGTAGATCTACCAATCATCCGACCGACAGCCTACATCGAGATGATAGGCCCGTCGCCGAATAATAATAATACAACTATCCATCCTCCGTGGTTAAAATTTTCACTTTACTTACCCACAAGGCCATTAAAACTGGACGGACGATCAAAAGTATAAGTACTCTAAAGAGAAAAACCCATAATTCATATGACGTTTAACTCATCCTACCTTAACTTTGTAATATTCAATGGAAACTCTGTTGAAAAAATCAAGACAGGGCTTCCAAAAACTCCTGTTCTAAATTGTCTTGCCTTCTCAGATTTAGTCTCCTCAGACCGAAGTTACTACCTGACGACAACAGCACTCACCAAGTGGCTGGTGAAAGTTTGAGAGGACACACGTGTTTCCAAATATTATTCGATTTTAATGATATTGGGACAACTGTAGCAAAGTATACCATTTTGAGGTATACAAAGAATTCACAAAAAATGATAAATCCAGATACAAGAAACAAGCGAAACGAGACGTGTACGGGCAGAACCCAACCATCGATTTCCCACATTTCTAACCTTCAGGGACTTTTCGTTTTTACCACATTCATGTGTCTCAACCTCGCGACAACTTTGTCACACCGAGTAATTTACTAACTCAATTTAATAATTCAGGTCGTCATCAGTTATGACCACGTTGTGTGACGTCTTGTCAGACGCTGATATCTTACACATGCGACATCAGTTATTACCACATTGTGTGACGTCCATGGCTTGTCAGACGCTGATATCTTACACATGCGCGAAGCTCTTAGGTGTAAATCGTAAAAAACCGAAGCCAGTGTTTTTTCACCCACATTACTTGTATTTATAGTATTTACTTCAAGAGTTGTGGCAGTTATAGCTCTTATTTGTTCGCAGCTCATAGTCCCCAAGTGCTTCACGATGCTTTCGGCATAGCTAGTGCCTCACCTTTCCTCACAAAATTCAAAGCCAAAAAGGAGTTTTCAACCGGTACCTCCACTTTCGGTGGTCTAGGCTTCAAATTTGGCTGAAAACCAGCAAAGACAAATTTGTGAGATCAGGCTCTCATTCGGCTTATGCGGATTTTTCAATATGCACGGGAGTTTGCCGATCAATTATTGACGGTCAAGTCAATAGCAATTGTAGATAGGTTATATAAACAATGGCATTTCAGATAGGACTGCGAAGTGCCTGTGTGAAATGTATATATTCCGGGTGGTGAAATTCGAATGATTCACATAGGTACTTTAAAGGTTTCGGAACTAATTTTGAGATGTTGATTGACACAGTACATTTGGAAGAGCACGGATTATTAGTCCACTTCCCCCAATAAGTGTTCCTGCATTTCCCTTGGAATGACGCTTGATACATGAGAAAATACATGGTTCACCATATGACTCTTCGGGAGCGCGTATTAGACCAAATACTCATGTTTGTATGTTTTTTGAGCGTCTTAGTTGATATGACAGAAGTACACCAATGGGATCAAGCGAAAGGTGCATTCCCTGATTATTGTAAGTGTTGGA